TCTGCCCCCACCGCGGCTGGAAGGCCCACATCTGCTCCCATGAGGAGGACGCGGGCGTCGTCTGTGCAGGTGAGGGGGTCCCTGTGCCGCCTTCGGGGAAGCTCCTCTGATGACGACCCAGGGACCCCAAGGCCTTAGACCCCACACGTCTGAGCATGCAGCAGGCGACACGCCAGCTTCTACTCCCTGCTCCGAGTCCAGTATCTCCCACCCTCACCCTCTGTGGCCCCCAACTGACCACCACTGGGGTGGCCCAGCCCTGCCTTGCCCCTCTCCCAGGAACGCAAGCGGCCTCCCTACTCCCCACAGCTCACAGCTTGTTTCCCTGCAGGGCAGCGTGTGGCTAACTCGAGGGATGGCCCCACCTCCCCGCTGGATGGGGATCCGTGGCCAGGGCTGTCTGGGGAGCTGAGCCTCAGCTCGGAGGAGCCCCCGGTGACACCTGGTGAGCCCAGAGGACTTGGCACCCACCCCTGCCCAGGGCTCTCCTTCCTGCTGCAGCTGTGGGAGGCAGTCACTAAGCCCTCCCAGGGGACCTCCCGGGAGACACCCGCTGTCTCCTTCACAGACCGGGGAATTCTCCATCACCTCAGCCCCTCGGAAAGGGAGGCCTGGTCCCCAGGTGGCAGGGAGGAGGAGCAGCTTAACCCCTGACCTCTGGCTGCCCCCCACCCAGCACCCCGCCCAGCCGGGAGCCCCCAGAACGGCTCCCGCAAGAAGAGCCCCCGGCCCAAGCAGGCCAAGTCCACCCGGGCCCCTGTGCTGACAACCGGAACCCCCCGCCAAGGTAAGCTCCCTGCAGGTGTCCCCCCCCTCGAGTCTGGGCACCATGAGACTCTAGGCCCAGCCAAACCAGGATGCCAGATGTCCTCTCCCCAGCTAGCATCCTCGAAGGATTCCATCCCTCACTGCATCCCTTCCTTGGGGGCTCAGAGAGTCAGCCCAGTCTCCCTCTTCTTCCTGACCCCCACCCTGTCAGGAGACCCAGGTGTACTGCCCTGCACAGGTCATGGCTCTCTCCCTTTAAGGGGCCATTGGGAGGCAGATCTCAGGCCACTGCACCCTCTAGGCCTCAGTTTCCCCAGGTGAAGACCGAAGAAGGGGTGTCTGTATCTGCCGCTCACCAGCTGCACCACCCTCCTGCCCGCCCCGCAGAGCGGCTGCGCCTGGTCTCAGGTCCCCACGGGTGCGCCGGCCGCCTGGAGGTCTGGCACGGAGGCCGCTGGGGCACCGTGTGTGACGATGGATGGGACCTGCGCGACGCTGCTGTGGCCTGCCGGGAGCTGGGCTGCGGGGGGGCACTGGCCGCCCCCGGGGGCGCCCGGTTCGGGCCTGGTGTGGGGCCTGTCTGGATGGACGACGTGGGCTGTGGAGGAGGAGAACAGGCCCTCCGCGACTGTCCCCGAAGCCCCTGGGGCCGCAGTAACTGCGACCACAGCGAGGATGCCGGGCTGGTCTGCACTGGTACGTTGGCGGTGGGTGGCTGCCTCCCACCTCCCTCAGGTCCCAGTCCCTCTTTTCTGTTCTGGAACCTGCGGAGGGCCTGAACCCAGGGCTGCCCTGTCCTCTGCATGTATGACGCCCACCCTGGGAGCAATCCAACGCCCCCCTCGTCCGGGTGCTGCCAATGTTCTCTGGGGACTGCAGGAGTAGGGCTTGGGGCATGGGCCCAACGCTCAGCCCTGTCTGGGGCTTGGGCCAGTGACCATCTCTCTGATCCTCAGTTTCCCTGATGGAGCAGTGTGGCTAAGAATGCCCACCTCAGGCTGGAGCTGAGTCCCTGGGTGCAAGGAGTCCTGTCTGTCCCTGGCCACTTGGCCAGCATGAGCGTCTCTCCTGTCCTCAAGGGGCCTGAGGTGGAAGGAGGGAGCGACGGCAGTGACTTGGGGGCAGGGTGGGAGGACTGACTAGTGAGCCTCTACCTCCCTCTATACCCCCCCCATCTAGCCTGGGGTCTAGCTGTCTCCTGCTCCCACCCCAGTCCCCTTCCTCCTAGACCCCAGCAAGGGCCAGAGAGGGGGAAGCTGGGTAAGGGCTTAGGGGCGCCCTCCTTCCCTCCCTGCCCCTCCTATCTTCTCTCCTCCCACAAATATTCATGACACACCGTATCCATGGCTGGGCATGGAAACCACAAAAGAAGCCCCAGCCCTGGCCCTCCTGGACTGTGCAGTCCACTGGCTGCAGGGCCGCAGTGGTGTTTCATAAGTGCTGGACATGGGGTAGGATAAGCTGCAGGTGCCTGCCCAGGAGGGGGTCAGAAATGCTGAAGTCAGCTGATGTGGGGGGGTGGAGGAGAAATGAGGACTTGACCTGAGTCCCTGCTGTGTGCCAAGTATCCTGAGCCTCACACACTCCCTGGGGTGACTTCCCTCTCTCTTCACAGATGTGGGACGGAGCCTCAGAGGGGTGACAGTGACAGAATGACCCAAGGTCACAGGCCTAGCAAGCCCCAGGCCCTGACCTCACCCCTCCGGGTCTGTCTGGACCCAGACCAAACGTCTGTCCTGCCGCAGTAGGGATGCGATGGGGTTGGAGACCAGGGGGACGCAGAGGGGTCAGAGTGGGGCAGAGGGCCTGTGGGGTGGGGTGGCGCCTTCCATGCCTGGCGTGGGGGCAGAGACGGGGCTTCGGTGCAGAGTCTACTGGAGGTGAGTGAGGCTCCGGACAGAAAAAGGGAGGCCGCTGGGGAGAAGAGAGAAGCACCAACAGTGCTGGGGCAGTTGGGGCGACACCAGCATCTCATTTAACTCCCACTGCAACCTGGGAGGGAGACATCCCATCCTTGTCTGCAAGTGAGGAAGTTCCAAGACGATTGCTCTGACTCCTCCCTCCATTTCTTCTCCAGAACAGGGACTGGGGTGACACCCCACTATGTCAGGGGTGGAGAGATGGGCTCCACAGGCCTAGGGGTGCCCAGCTCCTACCCTGGAAAGGCCCAGCGGAAGTGTCCCCTAAGGCCAACAAGACTAGTGGCTCTCAAAGGGGCAGGGGGACCTCCCCCCCACTCCCCAGGGGATGCCAGGCAATGTCTGGAGGCACTTTGGTTGCCACAACTGGAGGGGCAGCTGCTGGCACCTGGTGGGTAGAGGACATTGTGCAGGACAGCCTCCATGATAAGGAGCAGTCCGTACCCAGATGTCAGTGGCCCTGGGGTTTGGACTCCTGGTTTAGAGGACTGGGAAGCCACAGCTGAGAGATGGGAGATGGGGGAGCGGGGATCAGAGTCAGTGCTCCCGACATTCCCGCCCCCCCAGAGGGAGACACCTGCCAGTGTGGGCTTTGAGCCCAGGACGTCTGGCCGTGGAGCCTGTTCCTCACTTGCAGACTGAAGATGGAACCTTGGCTTCTCAGTCTCCCCGGAGATGAGGCTGACCCATCCATAGCTCAGTTCCAGTGCGTCCAGCCTGGTCTCTTGGCTGTGTCCCCTTCCCCCACCCAGGCCCAGCCCCCCGACTGCGCCTGGCCGATGGCCCCCACGGGTGCGCCGGCCGCCTGGAGGTCTGGCATGGCGGGCGCTGGGGCACCGTGTGTGACGACGCCTGGGACCTGCGTGATGCCGCCGTGGCCTGCAGAGAGCTGGGCTGTGGGGGGGCGCTGGCCGCCCCTGGGGGCGCCTTCTTTGGAGAGGGGTCTGGACCCATCATCCTGGATGACCTCCGGTGTCGGGGAAACGAGACGGCCTTGCGATTCTGTCCGGCGCGGCCCTGGGGCCAGCATGACTGTCACCATCGTGAGGACGCGGGGGCCGTGTGTGATGGTGAGGAGGCTGTGAGGGAAGGTGCAAGGGGGCTGAGGTGGCCCTGGAGTCATGGGGAGAAGCGCCCCTCGCTCCCTCTATACAAATTTCCCATGTTCCCCTCCTTTTCTCCTCTGTGAAACATCAGCAGTTCTCCACTCAGGGTGATTACCTAAGGGGACGTTGGGTAATGTCTGGAGACTTTTTTTTTTGAGTTGTGGTCTCACTGTCACCCAGGCTGGAGTGCAGTGGCATGATCCGATGATCATAGCTCACGGCAGCCTCAACCTCCCACCTCAGCCTCCTGAATAGTGAAACTACAGGCACCACCATGCCCAGCTAATTTTTAAATTTTTTATAGAGACGGGGTCTCGCTAGGTTGCCCAAGCTGGTCTCAAACTCCTGGGCTCAAGCAGTCTGCCCACCTTGACCTCCCAAAGTACTGTGATTACAGGTGTGAGCCACCATGCCCGGCCTGGAGACTTTTTTGATGGTCCTAACTGGGAGTGGGGGTGCTCCTGGCATTGGTGGATAGAGACCAGAGACGCTGCTCACCACCCTACAATGCCCAGCACGACCTGCATGGCAGAGAATGACTCAGCCCTAAATGGAAAGAGTACAGAGGCTGAGCCTCTGTCCTGGAGTAGCCTTTGTTGGCCCTGCCTCCTCTGCCCCAGCGAAAGCCAATCTCCTCCCTGTAGAAGGTCACCTCCTTCTCTGTCACCCCCGAGATCCCAACAGCCTCTCCCCTCTCTACTCCCTTGCTCCCCATTCACACTCTCCTCTGGTCAGGCTGGGGATGTGGGGGGCCTGGGCTGTCTTGCGGGGGGTCGGGAAGGGAGCTCCCTGCATGCAGCTAGGAGGATGGAGACTCAGTGAGGGGGTGGGGCAGAGGTGGGGGCACAGGCTCTGGGACGGAGGGTGGGCAGTCATCACTTCTTCCTCCACAGGCATGCCCCTGGGTGTTGTCCCTCCCACGGCCCCTGCAGTGGACAGCAACAGATCCACGTCCAGGGAGGCAGCCTCCAGGCCTCTGACCACCATGGTGAGCCAGGCCCCGGGGACAGCAGATGCTGCACCTCCGCCAACCTCTCCGACAGCCCCGCGGGAGCCTGGGCCGGAAGCCGGTGAGTCCTTACTGCTCCCCCTTGCATCTGTTCCTCCCCCAGCTCTGAGACTGTCTCCCGGGGGGCCCTCCTGCACAGCAAGAGGGGGAGGGTGGGAGCTCAGGCCCACTCAGAACAACACCGAGCTTAACTGAATGAATGCCTGCTGGCCTGTTCGGACACACGTGATCATTTTGGAACAAGGGACCCTGCCTTTTCATCATTTACTGGGCCCCCAAAATTCTGAGCATGTCCTAGAAGGAGAAAAGGATGATAGGCTGCGAGCCTGCCCTTGGGCTTTTGGCTTCCCGAGACACAAGAGTGGCTGTGGACCTGTCCAGGGTACTCTGGCAAGTTCCCAGTACCAGCCCCGCTCCAGAATGCTCTTTGCCTTGGAGCTGCTGGCTCTTTGGCAGAGGGGGGCAATTGGTTCTGCATCCTCCCCCCAAGTACTGATAGGCCTGGATCAGTGGTGGCAGGTAGGTTTGTTTTGTTATTTTGAGTCGGGTCTCACTCTGCTGCCCAGTCTGGAGTGCAGTGGCATGATCAGGGTTCACCACAGCCTTACCTCCTGGGCTCAGGTGATCCTTCCACCTCAGCTTCCTGAGTAGCTGGGACCACAGGTGCATGCTGCCACACCTGGCTAATTTTTTTGATTTTTTTTTTGTAGAAATGGGTCTTGCCAAGTTGCCTAGGCTGGTCTTGAACTCCTGGGCTCAGCTGGGTGCAGTAGCTCATGCCTGTAATCCCAGCACTTTGGGAAGCAGAGGCAAGAGGATTGCCTGAGCCCAGGAGTTTGAGCCTGGGCAATGTGGCAAAACCTCGTCTCCACAATAAATCAAAAAATTAGCCAGGCATGGTGGCACATGCCTGTAGTTCCAGCTACTTGGAAGGTTGAGGTAGAAGGATCACCCGAGCCCAGCAGGTCGAGGCTGCAGTGGCCATGAGCATCCAGCCTGGGTGACAGAGTGAGATTCCAACTCCAAAAAAAGAACACCTGGGCTCAAGCTATCCTCCTACCTCAGCCTCCCAAAGTGCTGGGATTACAGGGGTGAACCACCGTGCCTGGTAGTTGTCATTTAAAAATATAGGTCTTATTATTATTCAGGTATGGTGAGGCCCACAGATCAAAAGATGATGGCCATCAATAGGATAGTTTATTATAGCCCTCAAGAAGAGGGAGGAATGTCATGCCATGCAGGGTCACACAGGGAAGCATGGGATGGTCAGGAGGCAGAAGCTTTTAGTGTGGATTCTGCAGCAGGGAACAGGCAAGGCCAGGTGGCAGGCTTAGAATCCACCGGTTTGGATAAGTTCTGCCAGCCATGGGACATAAGGCTTGTCCTAAACTGTCTAGCAGCTGGCTCTGGGGTGAGGGCAGGTGCACCATGGCCCAGAGTGTGAGAGCGCAGTGGAGCAGGTGGCAGGGTATGGGCTCTGGGTTGAGGACTACACACCCAAGTCATTTACTGTCTCTGGGAATTAGCTAACCCTGGGAGGGGCCATCCTTCAGCTCAGCAAGGTCCCAACAAGTCAAGCATCAGGAATACAGAAAATAAAGACATGGTTAACACAGCTGTCTCCTCAAGGTTGGGAAAGGCCGAACAAAAGCAGCAACTTGTTTTCAATATCATCATCATTTCTGGGGGCCTCTTTCTCCTTTTTCTGAATAATAATAGTAACTACCTTTGAGCACATACTGGTGCATCATGACAGAAGCTGTTCCTAGTTCTTGCCATGTCTTAATCCAGGTGAAATTTGTACCCGCTGATGGTGTGGGTACCACTTGCTCTCCACACTAAACACAAGGCACACAATAAAAAAAAACTGGAAATGCCAGTATTCAAGCAAAAGCAATTTGTTCCAGAGCCCACATTCTTTTTTTAAAAATTTGTGGTAAAATATACATGACATAAAATGTACCATTTAAACCTTTTTTTTTTTTTTTTTT